CTTTTTACGAAATCCTTGAGTTATCACTTTGGTTAAATGAATGATTTATTTTATAATGACCTGTGATCCTATTTTTGTGATATCAAGTGTTTTAAACATTTGATATTTGACAAACTTTCCAAAATCAAATTATAAATTATCTTTTTCTGACCTAGTTACTCCTTTAAGATATTAGGTTCCCTAAAGTCCAAACATGGCATAATTTGGCTTATTTGGTACAAAAATTACACAGGAAGCATTGTCAGATAAGAGACAGTATTTGGCTTTCTCTGAGATGTATATGTATAAATATGTTATTGGTGTGTGTTCTAAAATTATGGGAAATTCCTGTAATTGTGATATGACCTAGTGTACATTATCAGTAATAATCATAATTGTTACGTTAACATTATTGTGTGCTGCAGAGGAGAGGTAACAAATTTCCTTGTCAATTGTGTGTTTGACTATGGCTGCCCTAAAACTTTTAGTCATCCATGGATAATTGTTGTGTTGTTTTGGTCCTCTTTATAAAGTGTTTTTTTTGTTGTTGTTGTGGTTTTTTAAGATTCACTAAGTGTTTTATTCTTGATAATGTTTTCTTTGTTAAATTTGTTCTTTTTAATTAATCTTTAAGTTCTAGGGTACACGTGCACAATGTGCAGGTTTGTTACATATGTATACATGTGCCATGTTGGTTTGCTGCACCCATTAATTCATCATTTACATTAGATATTCCTCCTAATGCTATCCTTTCCCCATCCCTCCACCCCACGACAGGCTCTGGTGTGTAATGTTCCCCGTCCTGTGTCCAAGTGTTCTCAATGTTCAATTCCCACCTATGAGTGAGAACATGTGGTGTGTCGTTTTCTGTCCTTGCGATAGTTTGCTCAGAATGATGGTTTCCAGCTTCATCCTTGTCACTACAAAGGACATGAACTCATCGTTTTTTATGGCTGCATAGTATTCCATGGTGTATATGTGCCACATTTTCTTAATCCAGTCTATCATTGTTGGACATTTGGTTGGTTCCAAGTCTTTGCTATTGTGAATAGTGCTGCAATAAACATACACGTGCATGTGTCTTTATTGTAGCATGATTTATAATCCTTTGGGTATGTACCTAGTAATGTGATCACTGGGTCAAATGGTATTTCTAGTTCTAGATCCTTGAGGAATCGCCACACTGTCTTCCACAAAGGCTGAACTAGTTTACACTCCCAACAACAGTGTAAAAACGTTCCTATTCCTCCACATCCTCTCCTGCACCTGTTGTTTCCTCTTGAATGCAGGTCTCCAATAATTTTGGAGATTGTTATGAGAATAGAGGAAAAACTTTCAGAACTCATGGAGAGCTAAAATGCTCATGAGTATTAAGCAGAATAGTAATTAACTATGGGGACTGAACTAATCTTTTTGACTTTTTGCTTAAAACATTGCTGATCTTTTGCTTTGTTTTTCAGAGTCTTGAAACTTTTCAGCTATTGACAGCTTTTAACAATTTAGTATACTCCTATGAACAAAATTTGGAGCATATTTGTTTCTCTCTACCTGATTTCTCCAGAATTTGGAAACTATTTGTGAGTATTCTTAACTTGTGCCAATACAGTTATTTGCAAAAGTGCAATAAGAATCTGTTTTCATTTGTAACAAGACACAATTGGAGAAACTGATTATTTTAGGAAGGCTTTGAGTGGAATGGTGTACTTTCCTTTAAGAAATCAAGCCTGAATTATGGAGACAATAAAAGCCCTTGGGAAAACTGGCCTCATACTTTACACAGTCCCTGTACAGGGTTTCTGACCTGTGCTAAGTAAAGAGTGTCATTTTCTGACAGGTCCAGGAGCCCCTGGTTTAGTATGGAACATCAAAAAGAAAGGAAATTCACCCAACTCATAGGTATTTGATGGTACAAATCCATGGCTGAGCTTGGATTTTAAAAAGTCTGAGATTCCTTCTGTGGAACAAAGTTCCTTCAAAGCCAATTTTAAAAAGCCTATGTGAAAAATAATTATTCTTGCTACACTTTATACAAATAATCTGGTCAAGTATAATAATGCGAATCAGTCCTACCATGATTTGTCTTTAGTAAAAATGGAAAACTGGTGAGAGAAAAATTATGTTTCAAAATCTATAGTCCACTTGTTGTTGGTGGACTATAGTCCACTAACTTGTTGTTAGGCACTAGTCTTGCCTAATTTTTATCAATTTTTATTATTTTCTACAGTTTAGGCTGAATTCTACTTTTTCCTGGCTATAAGTCTCCAAAATAATATTTTAAATTTTTTTCTTCTTTCTTTTCCTTTTTTTCCTAATTTGGAGACACTGAAAACTAAACTGTGCTTTTGTAAAGCCCTGCAAACCGAAGCTAGACAACTTAAACTTCTGAAGAAAATAACAGTAACCTATTTACATAAATAAGCCACTTTCATACCTGCCTACTGATATATGAACTTCAGAACAATGTAGCCCATGTATATTTTCCAGAATCGTTCTTTTGTTTGTTGTTTTTTTCCCTTCCTCCCCCTATTTTCTCTTCACAGGACATGAGACTGCACAACCTTCTAAAAATTAGCTTTCCTAGTAACTCGGGACCTACCTGTCTAGGAATAAACCATCCTAGCATGAGAGATCAGATGAAATCTGGGACCAAAGACTCATTTTGCTTCTAAAATGCTTTCTCCAAAATATTTTTTTTAAAAAAGAAAAGAGGGCAAATGTAAAGGAAAATATCTTGGGCCCCCAAATCACTAAGTTAAAAGGAGAATTGCTTAGAGCAAACCTGCCTCCCATTCTATTCAAAGTCATCCCTCTGCTCACTAAGATAAATGTGTATCTGACTGCCTCCTTTGGAAAGGTGAATCGGAAACTCAAAAGAATGCAACCGTTTGTCTCCCACCTACCCGTGACTTGGAAGCCCCCTTCCCGCTTCAAGTTGTCCTGCCTTTCCGGACCGAACCAGTGTTCTTTTTACATATATTTGTCAGGACCTCCGGAGGCTGTGTCACCGCGTGTGCGTCCTCAACCTTGGCAAAATAAACTTTCTAAATTAACTGAGACCTGTCTCAAATTTTTGGGGTTTACAAGGTTTAGTTATAAATGCTTCTTATGGAACATCATTTCCTTGTAAGTGAGGCAGGAGAATAGGGTCTGGAGGCAGGCAACCTAGGGCTGTTTCAAGCCGACTTCCTATAAGTAAATTGAAAGGAAAACCCTTTGAAAGGAGTTTTTCTCTCTCTCCAGTTTTCCATTTTTACTAAAGACAAATCATGGTAGGACTCATTTGCTTTATTATACTTGACCAGATTATTTGTATTAAGTGTAGCAAGAATAATTATTTTTTACATAGGCTTTTTAAAATTGGCTTTGAAGGAACTTTGTTCCACAGAAGGAATCTCAGACTTTTTTTTGTTACTTTCCACACCAAGTAACAAAAGAACCAGCGGCTTCTCCCTTTCCAAACCCCCACCTTTTCTGTGTGGCAGATGGGAAACTGAAAGTACCTTGATTGGTTGCAAAAAGCAAAATTATGCTAAGAAGTTAGCCCTTATAAAAAAAAAAAATATATGCTTTCTGCAACCAATCAGATCTTCCCATAGGGGTGTAACTATGTAACTTCACTTCAGCCTCTGATAGCATAGCAAGTCTTTGTTTGCATATAAGTGGAACTTTGTAACTTCACTTTAGCCTCTTTGACTGGTTGCTTTTCACAGCCAATTGTGGGACACCACTTCATTTACATGAGATGAGTACCAAGTGGCTAACAGGAGACTTCCATGGGGTATCAGGGCCCTTGAGCCTTGAGGCGTGTCCTTTCATTTTCAATAAATCCCTGCTTTTGGCGGGGCATGGTGGCTCACGCCTGTAATCCCAGCAGCACTCTGGGAGGCCAAGGCAGGTGGCTCACCTGAGGTCAGCAGTTTGAGACCAGCCTGACCAACATGATGAAACCCTGTCTCTAATAAAAATACAGAATTAGCCAGGCGTGGTGGCGCATGTCTGTAATCCCAGTTACTTGGGAGGCTGAGGCATGAGAATCACTTGAATCTGGGAGGTGGAGGTTGCAGTGAGCAGAGATCGTGCCACCGCACTCCTGCCTGGGCGACAGAGCAAGACTCCATCTCAAAACAACAACAACAAAAAACAAACACCTTCAAGGCCAGGTGTGGTGGCTCACACCAGTAATCCCAGCACTTTGGGAGGCAGAGGCGGGTGGATAACCTGAGGTCAGGAGTTCGAGACCAGCCAGATCAACATGGAGAAACCCTGTCTCTACTAAAAATACAGTATTAGCTGGGCATGGTGGCACATGCCTGTAATCCCAGCCACTCAAGAGGCTGAGCGAGGCAGCAAAATCGCTTGAACCGGGGAGATGGAGGTTGCAGTGAGCCGAGATCGCGCCATTGCACTCCAGCCTAGGCAACAAGAGCGAAACCTCTTCTTAAAAAAACAAAAATGAAAACAAACACCTTCGGGCTTTGTGAGTGCTGGTCTCAGAAAAGCACTCCGTTTTACTCCAAGAGCTAACTTATTTCTTCAAGAGTTGCATGCCTTTGAGAAATTTCCCAAACCACTACAGAGGAACAACTTCTCCCTTCGTCCACCACTCTACCAAGCACTAGGCTTTCGTACCTTATTGCAATTATTTATCTTCTAATCCTCCAGAGTCTAGAGAATTAGACTGTAATGTGCCTTAAATGCAGACGTTTCTCTTACTCTTCTCCGGGTCCATGCAGACGCTTGTTGGTTGAAGGATCAAACTTCAAAGTCCCTCCCAGCCTTACAACTGAGGAATTCTGTCTCCACGACTCATAACCATACCTATCTATGTTTAAATAGAGAACTTACGGGTTCGATCCAGCATATTTAGGAGCTCCATTAAAGTAGTAATCATTATCACTAAGGTAAATTTACAGGCGTACTAGAACAGAACCTAACAAGAGATAATTATTCAAAGCTCACAACCGCACCAAGCACGGTGCTTTCTTTCCCTTCATTAGAAGCCAAGGCTTCGCCTCCCATACCTTTCCCAAAATTCTGTCAAAACCGCGACTCTTGGTCATGGCCTTTACCACCTCCCGCAGATTCAGAGTCACGCTGTTCATCGTGGACGGTTTTCCGGCCTTTGGGCTCTGCGCAAGAACGAACTTTGGAAGAGCTGGAAAATCCAGAAGTTCGTGAAAGAAGGACACAGAGGGCGAAGAGCCTGCACCCTTCTCCGCCCCTAGGAGTGCAAGAGGCCGGGCGTCAGGTCAGCTGGCGGCCACGGTGGTCCGCGATTTGCTCACAGACGTTTCCCGCACGCTTGTGACCACGCGCGCAGGCGCACTTCGCCCCCACCACCTCGGCGGCTCGCCTGCGGCGCAGCTGCACCGATTCTTCTCCGAAAGCGGAGCGAGTTTCCCTGCCGGGCGGTTGATGCGGGAGCGCCGTGGCGCAGGCGCCTGCGCAGAGCCGACCGTTGGCCTCCTGTTCCGCTTAAAGGGGCGGTGCGGAAGCGGCAAGAAGATGGAGCTAGGGAGTTGCCCGGGGGCGGCGGAGGAAGAGGGCGAGCCAGAGGTGAAGAAGCGGCGACTTCTGTGTGTGGAGTTTGCCGCGGTCGCCAGCTGCGATTCCGCTGTAGCTCAGTGCTTCCTGGCCGAGAACGACTGGGAGATGGAAGTACGCTTTTGCTGTCTTCGCGTCCCGCTCCGTTACCTAGGTCGGTGGAGCGCACAAACCTCATCCCTGGTGCCTTTGTTTTTCAGAGGGCTCTGAACTCCTACTTCGAGCCTCCGGTGGAGGAGAGCGCCTTGGAACGCCGCCCTGAAACCATCTCTGAGCCCAAGATCTAGTAAGTGATGAGGGGAGCTGGGAGCCAGTCCGGACGGAGGCAGTTTGATACCAGGTTGCGCTGCGCGTCCTGGGACCTGCCGTGGAGTTGGGCGGAAGATGCTGAGGCAGATCTCCAAGCTGCGCAGCCAGAGGAGCAGGGCTTGCGTTGCTGCTGCTGCGCGGAGATGCGCCCCAGCAGCGGATCTAACACTCCCCCATACTGTCACTTCGAAAGTGATTTGGGGTCCAGGGAAATGGAAACGTAATGTTTGACTCAACTGATAGGAAGTAAGTAAGCGAGAGGTTTGAAACAAATGAATGAAGGCAAAAATCTTCCGTCGAAGAATGGCAGCTTGGAAGTCTCCTTGCTTCCTGAATTGTTTATTTATTCTAGGCCCTAGGCTGGCCAGCCAGAATAATAGGTTTTTTGTTGTTGTTATTTTTTTTAATGCACACCTACTCCTGTTATTTCAGTGCCCCTCTCCAGTTCCTGCACTACTGCTCTTGAAAAGTGTAGATGCCTTACAAGGCCCTCTACTATTTGGCTCCATAACTTGGAACCTGTCTTTCCAGGTTCCAGGCATATCAAACTTTTACTTTTTTCCAATGGGTCATTTTGTCCTGTCTTTGAACCTTCGTAAAGATCTTTATTACCTCTACTTGGATTTTTTTTCTTTTTCCTTCCTTGCTAGTATGTATCTTAAAGGCCCAAGCTGAGACACGATTTATCTCCAGGAAACTTTTCCTGATGTCCTAAGTCTAGGTAAGGTTCCCCTTTTAGGTACTCTTATATCATCCTGCGTGACCCCTGTTATAATAACTTAGTCCATATTGTAAGTGCTGTTCATTGTTTTATGTCTCTTACTGGACTGCACATCTAGTAAGGAGTATCTGTTTTATACATTGTTAATTTCCCAAAGTCTGACAACATCTGACACATCATAAGCTCCCAATAAATATTTACTGAATGTATAAAATTCTCCCAGTTATATGTACAACTTGTAAAATTGACTGTTCATAGTGGAGACTGTATTTTCCCTTTGGTCTTTTCAGCTGCATTGTCTTACAGATGTGATAAGATATTTGCATTAGGTTCCTTTCTCTGTCTTGCCTCTTGTTGGGGAATTGTCTGCTCTCACACAGTGATTTGTCTCTGGCTTCCGTTTTACTAACCAGAGCAAGTTGGTCTAGGAGGTGTTCACCTAGCTCGGACTGGCCAGTCACATCCTCTCCTTGGTTTCAGAATTAGGACCAAGAGAGTCAAGTCTGAGTCTTCTATGGAGCTGGAACTGTAACGTGTTAACTTAGCACCTGTGAGGATTCATACGTATCTGTTTTTGGGTACAGAGAAGCTGAGAACAGAGGTCTGCAGCGAGAGAATGAAGCAGAGGGAAGTTGAAGTGTAGGATTGAGAGAAAGCCCTTCACTGCCCTTCCTTAAACATGGCTGTATTTCTGTACCAGGCTCTGTGACATGTTGATTCCTTATAAATTCACCTGTTTTGGTCAAACCAACCTGAGTTAATGTCTGTTGGTTGCAATAGACTGTATCGTAACCAATAAATAGTAACAAAATAAGTGGATTTCCTGGAATAGGCCCTCAGAAAAGATGCGGATCAAGCTGAGCAATGGTGTCATGGCTATTAGGATTCTCTTACCCCGGAATGGTAAATTGGCAAAAACAAGCAAAGGTGTTGATTAGGCTGTGGTCTCTTGTCTCTCAGAACTCAGGTCAAGTATGAATGAGAGTGAGGTTTTAAAGTTTAGTTTGCTGAAGTGAGAAAAATGGGGAAGGGGCAAACTTCAGGGTGTTTCTAAGGCCTGTGCATTCACAGAGCGTGCGGTGATTAGATTTTTGATACTGGCTTTAGCAAAAATGAAAGGAAAAGAAAAAAAATTGATTGGAAGATTTTATGACCAGAGAAACTCAACCCTGCTGAGCAAGGGCATTGGCTGTCTTAAATAATTGGGGCAGGAATCTCAATTCTGGAGTGAATTCCTGGGATATCAACAAAAATTGAAATTGAACACTAAAGTGATTTAGCCCCCTACATTAGAATCTATCTTTAGTGTCTCTGATGAGATACCAGGGGAATCCTCTTAAAACAGCTATGCTGAATCTTAGCTGCATATTGGAATTATCTGGGGAAATAAAAAAAAAAACAACAACAGATTCTAATTAGTCTTGAGTAGGGCCTGTGTATTCCTCATTGTATTTTTTTTTTTTTTTTTTTCAGCTGTGCAGGTAATTCTAATGCAGAGCCAGCATTGACAGCCCATGTCCCAGAGCCTTGTTACTCAGAGTGTGGACTCTGGACCAGCAGCATGCTACTACTACTTGCGAGTTTGTTAGACATGCAGAATCTTAGGTCTCACCCAGACCTACTGAATCAGAATTTGTATTTTGACAAGATCTCCTGGTGATTTAAAGTTGAAGAGCACTGGCCTAACACATAAAACCTGAGACACCAGATATACTGACAAAAGCGCTTCCTCATCTGCTTAGGAATGAAGTCAAAAAATCATGCCCTTGACATTCACCAGTCCCTCTCTGTTCCCTTAGTATTTCTGTACAGCAACGTTTTAGAGTTTATTTCCCTTTTCATTTTCCCAAATGGAAATTTTAAATACAGTTGCCTGGTTTTTCTTGCTGCATTAAATATTAAATATTGTGGGTGTTGCATAAATTGCAAAGATATTTGTGTTAGGTTCTTGCGTTGCTATAAAGAAATACCTGAGACGGGGTAATTTATAAAGAAAAGAGATTTAATTGGCTAACAGTTCTGCAGGCTCTACTGGAAGCAAGGCCCCAGCCTTTGCTGGGCCTCAGGAAGATTTCAATCATGGCAGAAGGGAAGGGGGAGCCCAGGTATCACACGGTGAGCACAGGAGCAAGGGGGTGGGGTGGTGCCACATGCTTTTAAACAACCAGATCTTCCAAGAACTCGCTAACGTGAGGATAGCACCAAGACATTTATGAGGGATCTGCCCCCATGACCCAAACACCTCCCACTGGACCCCACTTCCAACATTATGGATTATATCTCAATATGAGATTTGGAGGGGACAAACATCCAAATTATATCAATATGGAATTGGATTGCAATGAAACTGGAGGAGGAAAGGATGGCATAGTGAATAAGAGCATGGACTCTGGAGCCAAAATGCAAAGGTTCTAAGTCCACCTGTGCTGTTTAGTAACTGTCTAACCTCTCTCTGCCTCAATTTCTTTGTGTAGTGGGGATAGTAATAAGGTTCTAAGTCTACCTGTGCTGTTTAGTAACTGTGTAACCTCTCTCTGCCTCAGTTTCTTTATCTATGCGACCTCTTCCTCATGGGGTTGTGGTAAGGATTAAGTGAGCTGATAGGTGTAAAACACTTGGAATTGTGCCTGGCATATAGGACTCAATAAGTATAAACTATGGTTAATGACACCATCATGCTTTCCCCATACATCACCCATGACAGTCCACCCATTGAGGAAAGTGGGGGTTGTGTTTACAGTTTTATGAAGTAGATTGAGTTATAGTTGGACATCTTTAAACTTGGAAAAAAAGGTGTGTGTGCCAGATAGGTAGGGGGCCTAATGTGATTAACAAACACCTTTGTCTTTGACAGTATATGTATTTTTAAATCCAATTATGAAACAGAAGATTTGACAGAAATAAAGAGCTAATAATTTTTCCTTTCTGGTTTTAATGCTTTCCATAAAAAGGAAACAACATCTTTGATCAGGCATGGAATCACTTGGCTTTTTCTCTATGGTGGTAAGATGAAGGGGGCCTGCCCCTCCACACTTGTGGGTATTTCTCATCAGGTGGGACGAGAGACTGAGAAAAGAAGTAAGACACAGAGACAAAGTATAGAGGAAGAAAAGTGGGCCTAGGGGACAGGCGGTCAGCATACGGAGGACCCGCACTGGCACTGGTCTCTGAGTTCCCTCAGTATTTATTGATCACTATCTCTACCACCTCGGTGAGGGGGATGTGGCAGGACCATAGGGTAATGGTAGGGAGAGGGTCAGCAGGAAAACGTGAGCAAAGGACTCTGTGTCATAAAATAAGTTTAAGGAAAGGTGCTGTGCCTGGATGTGCACGTAGGCCAGATTTATGTTTGACTTTACACAAACATCTCAGTGCAATAAAGAGCAGTATTGCCGCCAGCATGTCTCACCTCCAGCCATAAGGCAGTTTTCTCCTATCCAAGTAAATAGAATGTATGACCGGGTTTTACACCGAGACGTTCCATTCCCAGGGACGAGCAGGAGACAGATGCCTTCCTCTTATCTCAACTGCAGAGAGGCCGCCTACTTTCACTAATCCTCCTCAGCATAGACCGTTTACGGGTGTCGGGCTGGGAGACTGTCAGGTCTTTCCCTTCCCATAAGGCCATAACTCAGGCTGTCTCAGTGGGGAGAAACCTTGGACAATACCCAGGCTTTCTTGGGCAGAGGTCCCTGTGGCCTTCTGTAGCACATTGTGTCCCTGGGTACTCAAGTCTGGAGAATGGCGATGACTT